CGCCCCCCCCCCCCCCCCCGCGGTGGCTATAGCATTAGGGATCCCAGCACCTTGAGGAGGTATTCGAGCACGAAGTGCTCAAACCTGGCGCAAGGACACAGCAGCACAGGGCGCTTCTGCTTTGGCCGCGAGGCCTCTGCGCCCTCGCTTGACTCTTTTCTAAGAGCACCGTCTGGAGCCGATAGCAAGTGCGGCTCGCCTTTCAAGGCTGGCAATGCCGTCACGCCAACGGGGACTTCTTTCTTAGCATGTGACAATGCCATGTGCCTCCTGTTCGTCCGCAGGACTGTTCTGAATCCTCGAGTTTGCTGCACTCGCTCTCGGGGAAAGCTGCGCGGCTACGTCAACGTCCCGGCCCCTCCTGCTGCAGAGCTCCGTTTTCAGCCCGGAAGCCACCGAGCGCAGCGCAGAGTCGACCTGGGAGGTGGGCAGCCGCAGCGCGAGATGTCACATCGGCAGAATGTGTTGGAGATGGCAAAAAAACAGCTGCGGTGCCTATACACCTAATGCAAACGCCTGCATCGCCTCACCAGATGACCAGGTGACAATTGCTAGAACTGCTCTGAAAGAGGAGCGACAAAGAGAAGCCAGCGATTGCAGGGGCATTGGGCAGATTGGGTTCCGGGCTGCCCCTGTCAATGCTGTCGCAATATCCTGCCAAGGGTAGCTAACTTGATGTGACGAATCAGGAGATTCCAGGAACGGTCCCCGGAGGGACTCTTGCCTTGGCTCGCTGCGCCGGATCACTTGCGAGGTTGCCTGGCGCCATCCTGACAGGATCAGCCAAAAATCTCGAACAGCCTTCGACGGGCTTGATCGAAAATCATCTCGGATCTTGTGATTGGAGTCGATGGAGTCGCCCTTCCTTATCCCAAGCGGCGGCCTTGAGAACTGAGAGGCCACAGACGACAGCTGCGCAAGAGCGCTCAGAGCCGAAAAGGATTAGGAAGGATGCTCTGGCACTTCCATCGCGAGGTCTACCTGGTCCGCTACTTTTGCTGCGCGCTCCCCTCACTGCGCGGTAAGCCACTCGTTTAGAGTCGAATCCCTAGCGTATGTAGTGCAGCGGAAGCATCCAGGTTCTTCAACCCTTCTCCAAACCAGGCCCAAGATCGAAAATGCACTCCGTCGCAACGTCCCGATGGTTTCTGCGTCGCCTACTGCCCTACGGGAGCGTGAAGCTGTATGCTAGCCGCATTCTCTCTGTTGGCACTACCACCATTAAGCATAGTCTACAAGACTCAACGAAGGGTTCGCGTGTCTGACGCAATTCCCGGCGTTGTGGGGTGAGACTCACACGGCCTGATGGGCTTTGCACAAAAAACATGCGAAGACGTTCACAGTCTTCCTAAACGCTTGTGACTTGCACTACGAGTTCACAAATCACCCGATGTTCGCTAGGGGGTCCTCATGAAGATGCCAAAGCCACTCCCCTGGTTGCTCTTCAGTCCGCATCTTCTGCCTCCAGCTCCTCTTCGGAATCTTCCTGACCATGCAGACATCGACCCGGGAACTGCAAAAACTGATTCATGCAATGTGCCACTGAGCAAATTTACGCATCCGACAGTCGCACAAAGGAGTATCGCGCATGGACGCGCCGGATTCACTGGCAACTTCCGCACGACTGGACGGCGGGGTTTCGCGTCGGGTAAAAATGACCATTAGACCCAAGAATCTCCCAAACCCTAAACCGATGTTTGCGTGTGCGAAGGTGTTGGTACCCTGCTCGAGTAAGGCCAGGGCACGGCAAGGCAAGGAGCCAGGCCTTCGTTACATTGCTCATTGAACTGTCGGCTGGAGTCCTCTGCAAGACTCTATCGGACTCTGTCGGGAGTGCTCCGGCATGAGGCTGCATCGCTTGGATCGGCCATGGCTGAATCGCGTGCTGATGCCACTGCTGATTACACGAAGTCAGTCTGGATCATGCAAGTCAACTTGTAGCTGGGCTCAACTTGAAAAGTAGCTGAAGGTTACAGCTTAGTGGGGGAACTCCTAGAACGCACATACATGGCCCGCGAGGCGAAGGATCGGACTCGGCTCGCACACCCCGACACCTAGAAACCCTAAACTTAAACCCTAAAGGCTGAAACCTGGGCTTACGAACACGAGCAAAACCCACGTCCCATAACTTGGCCCACAACCATGTCAAGAGTCCTATGCCGCTGCAAAAACAATCTAAACTTCGAGCCCAAAACACCGAACTGTGAAAGCCGGAGCCATAAACGCCACATAACCCAAAAGCCGTCAGCATTAAAGCCCGTTGACAATAGTAGTACGGAACATACCCCCAAACGGCCACACACGTGCGCACACAGACACACATAAAGAACAAAACGAAACCAAGAAATCAAGCTTCTTTGAACAAAATGTGCTTGACTCGCACGTTGGTGTTTGTGTGCGGGCTTGAATCGGGATCGTGCTCGAATCGCACGTGCTCGAATTGCGCGCTTACGACGCAGCGCTTGAATCGTGGTCGGCATCCGAACGCGCTTGAGACAGTCAAGACTTGAGGTCCAAAGCATCATCTAATGGCACTGCAATGCCTGCCTGCGCGGCGCCATCATCGGCCTCTGCCGGCTCCTGCAAGCTCCCAAAGCTGCCGGAATTGAAACTCTCCCACGGATCCGCTCCTGTGCCTGCACGCGAGGGCGCTTTCGAGCGCCTGGCTCCTGCGATTGGGAATGGCAAACCTCTCTCACTGAAAGGAAGTAAGACTTCAAGTCTGCAGGGCAAGGCCCGACCTCCCAGTCGGAGTCATCTTCGGAATCGCACATGCCTTGCCTCGATGCACAGCGCACTCATCGCAGACCAAAGCAGGGAAGAGTGCTCCAGTGCTTGGGCTCCGGGCTTCCGCCTGCCCTTCTTCTTGATATTTCCCTTCTGCTCGCCACGACCGCGGCCACGGCCGCGCGCCGCCGGCGGCTCTGCTTTTTTGACCTTCGACGCCTTTAACTCGTTCTTCCCGCCCTTCGCGGCTTTGCCTTTGCGCCCACGCCGACCCTCCAGAACATCAAGCTTGGCCTCGTGCCGTGATCGGCTGTCGTCCCAAGGATCTGCATCTGTAATGGTCCGGATGTACGAAATCATCTCCTCCGGCCGCCCGAAGTTTTCTATTAATGGCGAGATTTTCTCCAGCCACTCATTGGCAGGGAAGCGATTGCGAGCTGGCGTCTGTCCATCCTCACCACGCCCGAAGCCTCCAGTGGGAAACGCCTTAATCCTCTCTTGCCGCAGCTCTTTGGGATTAAACGTTGCACATTGCTCGGAGGAGAGATTGTACTCCCTCCTCAGGACAGTCTTCAGCACCACACAGCTAACGATGGAGAGCGCCTCCGTAAAGACCTGTCACAGGGACACGATGCGGCAGTTTGGGAACTTGGACCCGGAACCACCAAAGCCTGCTCGGGCGAAAGTATCTCCTTCTCCTTCACGATTCCGGCCGTTCCGTCGGCCGACGCGAGCAAAGCCCCAGCATGTAGTGCCAAGTGATGGTTGCATTCCTTGGCAGCCCGTCGCGGGAGCTGAGCGGAGCTTCTTTAACAGCAATCACTGAAAGGAGATTCGATTGTAGATCCGCTCCGCTTGCTTGCAGGCAAGGCACGAAAACCACCAGCAGAGGCTCGTTCTCGAAGGCGAAAGGCAGCGATGTGACTGCCGATGCCAAAAACCTTCTAGCTACGACTGGCCACCGGTTAATTCTGTCAATCGTCGCTGTATCAAAAACCATGCAGAAGGCAAAACCGCTCAGGCCCTGCTGAGCTACTCGGCGGCCTGCCATTTGTAGACATTGTCATTGAAGACCGTAATGGGTGTTTAGACCCCTTCGGTCATACTTCGGGTTGACTTTGCGGACTAACTCAATTTCTTGACGCTTCTGTCGCCCAGCAGCTGGGCATAAAGAAGCTGCTGCTGCTGCCGCAAGGGAATGCGGCCAGGACCGCGGCTGCCGGCTTTCCTTGCGGCACGAGCAGCCCGTGCCCAAGGGATCTTCTATACCCAGAGAGTCCTCGTGGCACTGGAGCCGCCTGCGTCTTCCACACCAACGACCTTCGGGTAGCCAAGCAAAGTGCAACACTGACGCTTTCAATTTCAAACTTTCGAGGTCACTGCTCCCAGTGCCGCCAGCTCAGCAAACCGCTCCTGCACGAGTCACTTTGGAATTCAGGGCTCGAGCAGAAGACTGAGGCTACAGGGTTTCAGAGTCTCAAACAGTTCAAAAACATCTGCAGATCTGATGCGAGTGCAACTTGTGGCAGGCATGAGACGTGAAGCTGCACCTCTGAGCGGTTGGTTTGCAGCCGCTGCAACTCACGCAATGCTTTTCGAAGAAAAGTGTCACGGAGAGTTTTCCTGAGCAGGAGTCAAAACTCTGCACAAGAGCTTCTGTAGAAATCATGCTGATGTCACTTGCATGTCTATCTGAAGCAGACTGTACCTACAATACCCACATGTAATCCACATGTAACCATCAAAGGCCCCAAACTTGGAGCTTGTCACGACCTATTGCATCTGGGGGCTGCTTTCGGAAGCGCTCCATGTAGACGTCCCCCAGTCCCAGGAGCTGCTGGGGGACCACGGCCTAGGAAAAGGCACTTGTAGCATCCATTCATCGCGTCTTTCCTCGCAGCCTCCGGGCCTCGCCCAGACGGACAGCTGTCGCCGCCGAGAGGAGCGCCAAGAAAGCCTTCGTCTCAAAGCGGAGATTCCCTGCACGAGTCCTACACCGTCCCTTTTGGAGCCTCCCGGAAGGCCTCATCCAGGCGGTTGAGAAGCCTGCTCGAAAAGAACCCAGAGCACACACTAACCGCTAGCCTTCACAGCGTTCACAAGTGCAGACGTGCAATCTGAGGGACAGAGAAGGCCGCAGCTCGAGCATCTCCTTGAGCATGGCGGTTGCCGGCTCTGACAAACGAGGGTCTCCCGCAAAAGTCAGGGCGAAGACTTTGGGCAACACGGCCATTGGATTCACCAAGCCCTGTTGATGGAGGTGCCGGACAACGGACAGGGCTTCCACGCGAACTCGCAGCACGCCTTCTGCCTTCTCCGTGTCCTGCGGGGATCCCTGATCATTCTCTTCCTCTGTTTCTGGCACACTGCGACCTCGCTTTGTGCTTTGTGACTTCTTGGGGGAGGGCACCCCGGCAGCTGGGCCCACACTGCCCGCTAAGGTGATGTGCGACAGCACCACATCGGCGAAAGCGGCCAGGGGCTGCGCCGCTTCGATCGCAGAGTTGGTCTTGCTTGAAGCCTCGACGGCAGCACTGCCGGCCTTTGCTGATGCCGATCGCTGCGAGGAGGGTCCTTGCAAGGCCACAAGGGAGTGTCCGCTTTGCGAGGTGCCAGCGACGCGGCCGTCCCTGCTGTCGGCGAAATCCGCCGCACCTGCTTTCGACTCCCGATCGGCCTCTGATCGGAAATGGCTCAAAAGTGCCGACAGCGTCTCCAGTGCTTTCCTGCAAAGGAGGAGATCGCTTGAGCTCAGAGCGCTCGAGAGCAACTCCACCACTCGTCGATCTTTCGTGAAGCCACGGTGGCCCTTCAGGAAAAAGCCCATGCAAGAAGCGGCCACGGCCCGCAGCTGTGGCTCGCCTATGGCATTCAACCTCGACAGACTTCAGAAATTGGCTACAGGCTCTACCTGGCTCCAGCTCCTGGCTCCTGGCCTCAGGAGGAGGTCCAGCACGGTCGATGCCACGGAGTCTCCAAGGAATTCGAACTTCAGGTCCGACCGTGGCAACAGACGGCGCTTTGGCCTCGAAACTTCGGCAGCTTCGAAGACTTCAGAAAAAAAGAAAGTGGACTTCTCTCCGAGGCACTGCTCTTCGGCACTGAGGCCCTCGATTTGGACCTGTTCACATGATCAGACTCGCCTCTTTCAAGCTCTCGGGCTACATCGGGCCGCTGCTTGTTTGCAGAGCACCTTCTACCAGTACGTCAGTATGCCTGAAGATTTCTAAACCTTCGAGTCTAGGGCACGGGCATAGTCATCAATGTTCAAGCACTCCATAATGGACGCCAGCACCCAAGCTTGACGGCTCATGTACCTCTGCAATCGTCGCACAGGCACAAACTGAAGGATGGATGCTTCAAGAAGAACTCCCATCAAGGCTCACAGCAGCTGGATCCGCTCGAGGCTGCCGGGCTTCTGCTCGGCCGAGGTGCACAAACGGGACAGGGACGGCCTGTTAAAGGCAACCGCAACCATCGTGACGGCATGAGTCATGGCTTGATGCCAAATGTGGATGCTGGGAAACCGGCACGGCCACGTTCAGGTGCGAAATGATCTGCGCCAAGTCGCCAGTGACCTGGTGCATCACATCCTTCTTCAGACAAGGTCCAAGGATGCGTACAGCTTCCTTTCGCAAGGCACAGAAGCAAAAATACAGCTCGGGCACGAACAAACTTTACGACCAGGCAGAGGCAACGCCTTGGCGGGCAGGCTACTCGGCTATTTTGCCATCTGCTTGGCAGAACCTGCTCCAAGCCGATATTGCCTACCTAAGTGAACCGATCCGTCTCGGTGCGCGACACAGCTTCATGCACTCCACTGGAAGGCTGGTTGCGAATCAAGGCCTGAGAACTCTTGCTGGGAGTGTTGCTCAAAGCTCGTGTCTACAACAATGACCGTTTTCCGCTGTGATCAGGCCTGCAAGTCCACCTGAACCTGCCGATGGTCCATCAGACCACGCCTTCACAGGCTACGCTCGAAGGATGCAAGTAATCGCTTATCAGCTGGCATTGGGAAGGCTCGGGTTAACATCACTGTTCAAGTCGTAGTGCACCACGACAGGCACCAGCACGCCTTTCAGGGCTTTTACTGCCTTGCAGCCAGTCCCAAAACGCACAAACACACGGGGCGGTTCCGCCAAGTCCGTGCTGACACCGTGTGAGGCACAGGTTTCACGGCCGAAGACGGCAAGAAATATGCGGGCATGGCATGACATGGAGCAGTTGATACCTCAATGGTCATCCCTTTGTCTCCCGCACGAGGCTCATGGATCCGAAACGCACATTACCAGTAGCACGTGACCACCGAAGCGGGCACGCCTCTCTACCTGAACTTTAGCCTTGGCAACGACGAAGGGGCAATAAGATGCGTCCAGCCTCTCTGCCACGTAAGGCAGCACCGAGGCGAGGATTCGGCAGACCTACGACCAGATTGGGAGCACCATAGAGATGTGTCTGAGACATTTTGCTTTCCCCTGTGTTGGGTCTTCTGCGTGGTTTTCAGATTCCTAAAAATACACTGAAAGGGCTGCTGAGGGAATTCTCTCGCCTCTTTGCCTCGGATGTCGAGATGTTCAAGCCTGGGGATTGTTGAAAGCATCTGTGACCTGTTCCTGGTATAGAAAAAAAACAGCCGGCACGTGCTGGTCTGCCGCACGGGACTTTAAGTAAAAGGCCAGCTCCCTCACCCGCGCATGCTGCACGTCTGAGTGTCAGGATGCTGTGTGAAAGCTAGAAAGGCCTGCTTCATGTCTCTACAGAAAAACTGCGCAGCCGGCGGTGGGGCATGCTCGCATCTTCCGTCTCTCGCTCTCTCCTGCCAGCCTTGAGGGCTTGTCACGATAGGCTTGTTGTCTATCTCTTGTCGTTCTTTCCTTCCTTCCATGCCTCCCTCCTTGCTTCTAATGCGTAAGGCGGAGGTGTTCCCCAGACAAAAGGAAGGAAGGTCCGCTTGCTTGGCCTTGATTGCCACCCACTGATCCTCAGGTGGCGAATCATCCTGCAACGATGTCTTGCACACAGTCTGGCACACCCCAACTCGGCAAGGATGCTTTGCTGATGGATCATCTGTCCTCCAAGGCCAGGTAGATCGTGAGAGGCCGCAAGTGCACCAGCCTTAGCCATCATAGGAGTCATCACAGTCCCTTCCAACTCCCTTCGTCGGCCGGAATCCACGTTCCTGCCAAAGTGACAGATCTTTGGGCTGCGTCACGGAGAATGCTTCCAGAGTGGAGAGGAGGGATCGACGCATCAGCCACTGCTCCTCATCCAATTCTACCAGACTACGCTAGAGGGCGCTTGCTGCACAGCATCAAGACTGTCGCTTCACTCCTCGGCACTTTCGGCTGCTTGAAGCTCGATCTTCGGACCCTGTCAAGAAGCTCTACGTCTACGTGCCAGGTACACCAGGCTTCAAGATGCATCAATGAGGCTGTCGCACCTTGGCTTTCTTGAAGGGTGGTGTTTCTGAACCATATCCACACCTTGCACAGCACAGCAGCACAGACACCGCGCACAGCAACTCTGCACACATGAACGAAAGTCTGCGAGAAGGAGACTTCGTTCGCACGAACTCATTGAGGATCAATGTTGTCCATCGGCGGATGGCGAACTCGTAGCCTTTGGAGTTCTTGCGTGAGCCTGGCATGGCTCGGCCAACCCAGGTGCACCAGAGGAGGATGCTTTTTCCTTCCCCAACCAGACCGTGTTTCCGTATTCTTCTGCATTGAAAACACTGAAAAATCATGAGCAGAAGATAGCAGAAGCAAAAACCTGCTCGAGGCGCCGATTGACTTTCGAAAACGGCGCAGAAGCTCCTGCAAGACGTCGCCAACCGCCGCCTTGGATACGAGAGGCTGTACCAGTTGTACCAGTGTACCAACGACGAACAAGACTCCAGGGAAAGGAAGCTCTAGATACAAGTAACAGAACAAAACAACGGCCATCTTGGAATGTTCGTCGTGTGATGTGGTGTATTGACGCGGGATGAGCTCCTGATAAACGGCTGTGGCGGATCTCCCAAGGGAGGAGCGCCGGGCTCACTCCACGATCGGTGCGAAAAGTGAGGACAACCATCTTCTTCACACTGCATGGCTGCTCAGCCCCCTGCCACCATACTTCTCGAAGCATCCACCACTCGGCAAAGCTGCCGAGCCGCCTCCAGCAAGGCAGCTCGGTTGACAATAATCTTCAAAACACAGCTGCACTAATATGCTTCTGGTTGATCGCATCAACGACCCCAAACCTCTGGTGTCGGCTCATCATCCATGAACCAGAGGAGCTCGAATGTGCCCAGGACAAGGTTGCGCCTGCGTAGGGAAGAAGCAGGCCTATTCTAGCACTAGGTCACTAGGACCACCAGGACCTGGGCTCAAAAGGGGACCTGTCAGTACTTTAAGTTCCCGGCAAAGCTTCCGAGTCAGTGGAGCGACGAAGAAGATCCAGCGTGACCGGCACTACATCTGGATGATCTGGGTGATTCAAGACCTCAGAGTGATGAGCGACCCTCGTTCCTTGTAGCGACACTCAGCTGCAGCAGAGTCACAAAAGCGCTCAGGATCTTCGTGGCCTGCCGTCGCACAATGACTGCAGTGTCGTTCACACGCCTTAGCGGGCGGTCGAGACTCGAAGCTGACCATTCTTTGATAGTCACAAATTAAAACAGCACACACACACACACAAGGTCACATAGACACGCACAAAGCAAAGCAATGCAAAGCACAATGGATCCAGCTGCAGCGTTGCGTGCGTCTTCCAATCTCACATTGAATCCAAGGCAGTCCAAACTGAAAGCTGCATAGAGTGTCAGCATGTCCACAGAAGAGCAAGTTTACGAGAACGTCGAGAGAATGCTGGGCCGTGCTGATGATAATCCGTGCTCTTCTGTGCAACATTGAGGCAAGTGTTCCACTAATTCCAGGGTTCCAATGCCCCTGTGAAGCTGCAAAGTTGCAGCACATTCCGAAACCCCACCTGCACCTGCCTACTGGTGAATGCTGGAGCTGTCAACTGCTAATGCGAGAACTGCAGGGAAGCAATGGGTGCTCACAATGCCAGGAGCAAAGCTTGTGCAGTTGGTGCCAAAATCTCTTATTCAAAGCCTGACATGATGGCAGGCAAGATCTGTACAGACTCGCCGACTCTGGGCAGTTCGTTCGCCGAGAAGTTTAACTGACACACATCGTTCTGAGCTGGCGAAACACGCCAGCACAAAAAGTCGCTGCTGCGCTTCTGGTGATCAGAGTGTGATGGTGAGTGCGGCACGCAGCGTACATGGCTGCCGGCAGATAGGACAGCTTGCTCTGAGACTCAGCCACGGATGCACGCAGATTGAATGAAAGGTATGTCCACAAGGAAGTTCTTGCTGCCAAGTAGAGTCCGTCATGCAGCCCAGGCAGATGGCGCACTGGCCATCACCTCTGCAGGCTTGTGGCCCCTTGTTCGCAGGCATGCCTCTGCACAGCTTCTTTGATGCGCTGCTGAAGACTGAAGCCACAACTCCCTTTACTTCGTCCAGCTTGTCCCGAGCTGCACTGCAGGCAGAATCAAGCGCGCTTATTGCGATCAGTGGCACCAAGTATTGCATGGGCATATTCCAGTGTTTCTGGGACGAAGCTTGAGAGAGGTAGTTGGCTGCAGGGAGCACCTCAATAGCCATGCATCAAGATCTTTCAGTACGCATGCCGACCGTGTAAACGGGAAACGACGAAAAGCGCAGCTTTCCACTTGGTGTCGCTTGCAGCCTTGCAAAGGGCCGGGAAAGGGCAGGTGGGGGGTGAGGGTGCCTGGGAGAGGGGGACGATTTGGCTGGTTAGGATGGCGGGGTTTACAGGAGGGGCGAGGCGGGGGTATGGGCAAGTGAGGGCACGTGCTGCTTAGACGGAGGCTGGGAGGGCTCTGGGAGGAGCTTGTCAGAACAGCCTTGCGAGAACACTTCTGTTTGGACCTCACGTGGCCACGACACGACGAGTGACACAGCTGGTCAGGTGGGGGGGGTTCGGGGGAGGGGGAGGGCCCGAGCGGGACTGTGGGGAGCGAGTAAGGGGCAAATAAAGTTAGCTAAATTCGAAGGCCATGCTCTGCAGGGGCTCTGGGAGTCCATGTTAAAGCGGCTGATAGGGGTACGGTGGTACGGTACGGGGGGTACAGTGGTACGGTACGGAGGGTACGGGGGTACGGTACAGGGGTAGGTACGGTGGTACTGGGTGCTACGGTACGGGGGTACGCTCGGGGGGTTACGGCGGTGCGGTACGGGGGGTACGGTGGTACATTGGTTGTGTTTTTTGCGGACTTGGTTGTGTTGTTTACAAAATTGGTTATGTTTTTTCGAAATTCGTTGTGTTTTTTGGGTACGGCGCGGTGGTACAGTACGGGGGGTACGGTGGTACGGTACGAGGGGTGCGCTGGTACGCTTGGGGCACCGATGGCACCGCCCCAACCGTACCACCCGTACCGTAGCCCGTACCTTTGCACCGTCGCAAAGTGTACCCCTGCACCGCCCCAAGCGTACCACGGTACCGCCTCAAGCGTCCCAAGCATATGCACCTGCACGTTGCCGGCTTCTAGAAACGTATCGATCCATGGCGTTTAAATCTAGTTAAAGATAAAGGTTCCGTTCGGGCCGTACTGGTTTGCAGCAAGAGTGACGATAAGTATGAGGCTACAGGGCTCCTGGTAATGCCCTACGAGTAGTACATAGAAAATCAGGAGCAACTTGCACACAGCTCAAGCACGCTGTCGCTTTGCTTCTGGCAGATCGGGAGGCAGGAAGTCTCGAAGATTGAAAACGGAACCGAAGCTTTGCACGCTCACAAGGCGCCATTGCTTCTTCGATGGCTTGGATTGTGAACCCAGATTAAGATGTCGAGTTCGCAGTTCGACTGATTCACTGAAGCTAGGTCTCTGAATCCGTAGACCCTGTGCCAACATGCAATGGCCTGTAGGACAGGCTCTCTCACCGAAATCCAGCGCCCGCTGAGGAGAACATGCTGCTTTTCCTTGGTTGAATCGGTCTTTAGAGCATGTGCCAAAGCCTGCTGCACCTGAAACACACTGCACGATGCTTGATCAGCTGCTTCTGTCCAACTGCAGCAGTAGATTCCACTCGCCCTGCGCCCGACCGGTGTCCAGCAACCATCGCTCCGCGTCACCGTACCTTGCCATGCTGTCGAGGGAGCTTCGGCTAAATCATCAGAATGGAGGTCCAATGGAGGTCAACTTCGGCTGAGACACTGTCCCGGGGCCAGGTTGCAGGCTCTATTCCAATACCTCAGCACACTCAGAATAGTCCTATCCGGCAGCGCCAACAGCGAAACGTGGCCACTTGTTCTACCACAAGATGCCGCCGGCCAGCTCTGCGGCTTTCTCGTAGAGAGCATCTGCTCGATCATATCGCAGGTCCCTTTCCGCCTTGACACCCTGGGCCTTGGCAGTGGATGCCAGACGTCCTTCTACGAGATTGTGCAGGCACCATATACTTTAAAGGAGCCACCTGTCTGCGCTGGCAATTATTACTGTGGAGTTTTCTGCCTAGCTGCAGACTGGGCAGATGCAAAAAGTCCTGTTTAGGAATCAGTAAACATCTTCATTCCGAGCTTCGTGGTACATCACACCCAAGTTATTCCAAGCAGAGAACAACTGGTAGTTCTGGTCCTTAGCATCAGGTACTTGGCATCAGGTAACCTCTGTCAAAAAGCGCTTTCTGCATCGGGCCATATGCAGTACCTTCGATTGGCACACTGCAACTGGCATGTTTCACACCTCACACTTACAGTGCGAGGGAGACATTTGTCCACACAACAGCGTCCGAGGCCAGATCCACAGCCATCAAGTAGTACTTGGCTGCTTTGGTGAACTCGCCATTATCGGCGAACACGATGCCCAGATTGTAGAGGATATAACCGCCTCAGCTCAAGCCGGCATGTGGAACTCGAGACAATCTCGAAGGTAGGAAAAAGCGAGCGGGAGAATGGTCTCTGATGTTTGTTCAACAGCGGCGTTCGGAGGGATCGCTCTCCAACTTGAGCGCCCGCGCATACCTGGGCTGAGACGGACTGCCTGTACCCGCCAAACCAGAGCTCGCGCTCTCGGGGACAACAGAAGACTTCACCGGTAGAGCCTGCTATGCGCTCCTTTTCCAACTGTTTCCGCTTCGGTGGCGTGTTCTGCGATTCTGACTCTCTTCGGGGTCTGATCGGGTTCATCGAAAGTTTCGATCGTATTTCATACAAAACTGGACTTTCCATGTTCGGAGGACCGGCCGTTTCCCGGATCCGCAGAGTGAAAGCAGAGGAAAGTGAAACGGCTGAAGAGGGTTAGGGAGGGCGGGAGAAGAAGAGTTTCAATTCGAAGATTATACCAAAATGGTAACGGAATGCAACAAAATGATCGACTCAAGTACATCCACGGACTCGATCGGTGATGGATGAAAGCAATGGGTTGTCATTTCGCACACAAGTGTGCTACACGACAGCAAAAAACCTTCACCGGTAAAGCCTGTGATGCGCTCCTTTTTCCATCTACTTCCGCTTCGGTGGCGTGCTCTGCGATTCTGACGCTCTTCGGAATCTGATCGGGTTCATCGAAAGATTCAATCGTATTTCATACAGAAATGTTCTTTCGATATTAGGAGGACCCACCGTTTCCCATCGGTGGTGGTCGCGTCCTCCCATCGNNCAGGCGAACGCCACGAGACCTTACCGGTCTCTCCCTCGGAGGGCTTGATGTATCTTATGGATGCCCGGTACATCCGAGAAGCCAGCAAAATTATGTCGCCTATAATCTTCGTAGCCCTAGGCGTGATGGTCGAGAGAGGTAACTCGATTCTCATCAACTGTCGAGCCTCGGCTATATCTTCGAATCGACTGCGTGCATCGGAAAAATTTGCCTTGGTAGGTATCTCGTTCGCCGCGATTGTGCCATGTCCAATGTGCCGCGACAAAACAATTGAGTGGTTAATGTTTGCTCACCCTTTTGATGAGTGCGAGTCTGGATGCCTCATTATCGCAGCACTGAATGTAAAAACTGTCCAACCAAGGTTTGAAGATCATCGGGGCTAAGATCGCGGCCGAGGCCTCTAACAGGTAGATAAATGCCTGGTCGGAGGAGAATCGTCGCACTAACACCGATGGCAAACGACTCTGAAGTAGGCCGCTCGTCGCACATCACTTTGGTGGAAGCAAACGGTGGCCCATCCGTTCTCGGTGTTGTTGGTCTCGGTGGAGTTCCAACTAGGCAGATCTTCATCCCCTGGGCGGTAGATCTTTTGTCCCAGTTTGTAGATGACTGCGCAAACATGCTCGGCGGGATCGATGCATTGTCAGAGAAGGCTGCGATACTGCCCTCGCAGAGGAACCCAATCCAAGAGTTGCTTCGCCGTGTAGCCATAGCGCAGTAACTCGAGGAGAGAGTAGCAGAAATGTCTCAATTCGAAGCTTATACCAAAATGGCAACGGAAGGCAACGAAATGATCGACTCAAGTACATCCACGGAGTCGATCGGTGATTGATGAAAGCAATGGGTGGTCATTTCGCACACGAGTGTGCTACACGACAAAGTATTCAACCCAGAAACAGCAACTCACCCCTCTGCCATCCTCCGCCTTGCCTTAAATCCAAACTCCAAGCTGCGCGAAAACTTATGTAAGCCGAGATGCCAGCGCACAGCTTCTTTGAGATCTCCATCGGACTGAGCCGAAAGGCCCATTCGATAAGCCTCTCTTGACATGCCAGGTTGAAAAACATCTTTGGTTGAAAAGAGTCGCTCTGGGGTGAAAGTCATTCAGCTTGACGCAAATCTGCAGCTGCGATCGGGTGCCCCAGGCAAGCGCTCAGCTAAGTTTCCAAAAGATGGCAAGCTCTCTGCGACTCTGTTGCAACCCTTCCAGAAAGCGTGTACCTCTGCACTGCTGCAGTTCTGTCGTCGTCGTCATATATCGTCATCACCATGGCCACTGGTTATCATCGTCTTTGCCATTGTCAGCAACAGGGTATTAAAAATATCATCACCGTCGTCACCACCGTCCTCACCATTTTCATCATGATGAAAGTCCTCCCCAGCATCCAAACAGCAGCAGCAACATGAGAGCCGCAAAGCTGTCAAGGACCTCGTGAGCCTCTTTCTCTTCCGCAGGCCTCAGACCAAGTCGTGCCAAACCATTATCCGCAACATCATGCATGCCCGCCCTTAAACAGCGAACTGCATTTTCAGGAAGCAAAATTGTTCGATTCATTTACATGATATTGTTGTTGGAACAAGTCGCAGAGGCATGGAGTCAATGAGGTTTTGCGCTACCTCCTGTGTGAGGGCGGCACGATTCAGCGAAAGATCGATCCACCAAAAACTCATCAAATATTTCGCTCAATAGCCAAATGCTACTCTGCATGCTGCTCTCTCATCTTGGCACAGGTTCATGCAACAGGATCCTGGGCTCCTTGAAAGTACCATCGAGGACGCCCTCGTCGTCGCCCCTGGCTGGGCGCTGTGTTCGCCGAGTCCTTTCGAGAGCTGCTCATGAGATAGTCATGGCACCGGAGTCCAAGCAGAGAAAAGACCGTGGAGGGCAGCCATGAGGCATAATCCTCGTCCAAGTCGAAGGTGCCCCAGACAGCACGAACGCACAGCGGAGCCTGGAAGTGTCAACAATAACGGCAGACAGGGTCTAATTCAGGCTATCAGACAACCTCAGGCACTGCGGACTAAACGCTGACATGTTGAGAAGGACTTTCCCTTCCATATTTAGCCGTGAGTCTTGCTCGTCCGATAGTTCCACAACCAAGATATCAGAACTGAATACCTGAGGCCCTGGCAAGGAACAGCACAGTGCTGCCAGCAGTATAGCCGCCGACCGAAACCGGAATGCCATGAAGCACCGTGGAGGGGAATCCGGAGTGCTCATTAGGTTTCGGTGTTGGATGTTAGATTGGTTGGGGTTGTCCTTTTGTGGCACTGCACACTAAGGCCTGCATGTGCAACTGCTTGCAGCGGCACTTCGACAGAAGCTGCCAACGTCTCAAGCGAAAATCCAGACAAGCCAAAATCCAAGAGTTGCATTATGTGGATATAGTCGCTTCGCAAAAACAACCATCATGCCCATGCCCATTCCAGCGATCTCATGCCTAAGGCAGCTGCCCACGCACAGTCTTGTGAAACCGAAGCCTCGTAGTGTGGGCCAACAAGCATGTGCGGCTGACTGCACTCAGCACGGGCAAAGGAAAGCTTGCATGAGAGCCATAGATGACTGCTGCCGGAAGGCAGCATGTCCCGGGCACTGGCATCTGAACCTTGCAAGCAGCCGTGGCAACTGCTGTACCACTGCACGCTCTACGACTCTACGATCTTGAAGTGATACCTCCATCACACAGCTAAGCAATTCAAGGGGCAGAGCATCCTGCCTCCATGACTGCCCTCTGCGCTTGCCCGCTTTGACCCTGCCTACCGAAGCATGCAAAGCATCGTGCCCGGTGGATGCCCGTCGATACCGAAAGCCAATGCATGCATTTCAGGTCACATGGCCACAAGAAGCACAGAGCAGCATCTGCACCGGGCCTCACCGCTCCCCTGCACAGGACAGCAAGACACGAACCCCACTGCCAGCAGGATGCAGTCCAGTGCTGAGAGAGGCGAAAACATGTGCTGCAGGACCGAGGTGTGCAGACTGCCCGTGGCACACACCCAACCCAGCCCACTGCCTCGGCCAGGCTTCCCTCCAGAATGCGTCCGAGGAGATCCAAAGAAACCTGCTGCCGGATTCGAACAACTGGTCATGGCACGGCTAGATCATCACCAACTGCGCACTGGCGCTGCAGATGCCCCATTCCCAAAACTCAGAAGGCTAGATGCAGCAAGGACGGATATCTTTGCTAACACTGCAACAGAGAGGACAGTCCTATCCACGTGTGAAACAAAGACAATCACTTCATTAGATCTGACTCTGTGACACGAGAATGGGAAATCGCTGCTAGCAGCCATCATGACTGGTGATGAAGTGAGAACACTGGACAAAGAAACACCGAGAAAAAATCAATTGGATACATGTCTCTGCCCGATGCCCGACACTGCGTCTATTCACTCTGCAACTCTGGCGATAAAGGATCGTTTTGCCCTGCCTGTCGAACCCACGATGATTCGTCTCGCAGGCGCATGTCCACGGTTTCCTCCACTGCCCTGACTTTGGGCAAACTGATCGCCGCAATCGCTTGTGATTCCGCTGCACACGGCCTCGGCCTACCCTTGCTGCCCTTGCTCACGGAGACCAAACAAGGACAGACAGATGTGCGCACACACACACACATTCTCTCTCTCTGACTAACTAGCTAGCTAGCTAACTGCCTAACTAACTACTTAACTAACTAACTAACTAACTAACTAACTAACTAACTAAATAAACTAAACTAACTAACTAACTAAACTAACTAACTAACTAACTAACTGACTGACTGACTAACTAACTAACTAACTAACTAAACTAACTAACTAGCTAACTAGCGAACTAAATAACCAGCACCGTGTGTTCATGGCCTCAAACTCAAGACGGAAATGTCCATGTCGACCAGGTCACTCAATGCCTTGAGGCCGGGCGCGCTCGCTCAACTTGACTGCAAGATGCACCATCAACACTTGCAGTGAATGTCTTGCAGGTGTTGCCGTCTTCTGTTCGGCTGTTACCACAGAGTGTTGCTCTTCCGGCCCCTTGTTGCAGACGAGAGCTTGATTGGTGTATTGATCATGGGCTCCTGCCGAAAATTCTCTGTTTTGAACCTCAGATGACATGTCGAGCAGAAGGTTGGTCATGTTGAGGGCCCCGTGCCGTCTTGCTGATGCAGGCAGTGGGAATGCTGCCAGGTTGTTCGGTTGTTGATGACGGCTTTGGAGGCTCCTCCAACGCAGGAGGAGTGTTACTCAAGTACTCATCTTCGCTCGTCGGCTGTCTCGAGCTGTCTGAGCTCGTCAAGATAACTTGCCCAGAATCTAGACCTCATGGAAGACTTGCCTGAAACGTGTCTGAGCTTCTCGCCCTCATGGCGGTCTTTCGAAGCGAGGCCTCGGCACGACATGTTACGACACGTCACGACACAAGCACACACACGTACACTTTCTCCGCCGCTCCGAGGTATCCGCCATCGGTGAGTTGGCTTGCATCACGATGCAGTCCAGGGCCTGGCCCGGCCCAAGCCGAGCTGAGACGAGTCGGCCGAACGTGAGAATCGAGTCGGTCCCTTCTGGGCAGAGCACCGCTTTGCGCAATCCGTCCAACTCTTGGCTCCGAAGTTGGCGATACACCTGGCGTGCGCAGCGCAAAAACTGCATCGATGCCTTCGATCCAACACAGGGCAAAACGAAATATCTACAAGCTATCTACGAAGTCCCGAACTCTGGCCCGACTCTAAGCTTGCGCTTACCTTGTACACGGTGTAAGGAAGCAGCACTCGACGTCCACCCATTCCTTGTACACTGTCGCTTCGACACTACGACGAGTACCAGCGACCGTCTTACATTGCAGCCAGTGTAGGTAAGGGCTGCACGCCAAGAAGCCGTGTCGCAAACCTGACGTCAACGATTCACATGCTGCACATGCTGCTACAACTCCGCAACAAATTCAGGAAAACAACCCAATTCACCCCCAACAGCAGCGACACAAAGCTCGATAAGGCTCAGGCCAAAGTTGGTGAGCACCTGCTAACTCATATTCCAAAGACTCTGTTCGACTTCTGAAACGAATGTCTCGATGTCCATTTTCAAGGCCGGGGCCAAGCAGATGCCAAGAAACGCTGGAGCGGCGTCATGGAGCCTGGCGAAGCAACATCCCTGCACGTCTCTTGTCAGTCCGTGGCACTTCTTCGAGCAGCAAATCACAGAACACTTCGAGCAGGTGCCATGCCGTCGCCTCTCCGTCGCGAAGCAGCATCCTCGGAGGGGGAAGCGGCCTCCGAGGACTTAAGCAAAGCATTGACCTCATCGACGAGACCCTATCACATGATCCCAGTGGCACGAAAACTCACGGCGTATAGTGCAAAGGCCGGCATGACTCGGCTCCTGAAGTGTCTAACGAGCCTCTGCGCAGTCACAGACCAGGAAGCTCCACGCATGCACTGGATGACCGGCCTTCCACCAAGCAACTCTGCGGAGTGTACAGGTACAACACCGGGGCTGGGATCCGAGCTCCGAAGACTGCGGCAGACAGCGGCGCTGCTGGAGCAGCAGCACCTCGGACTCTTTCTGCACAAGCTTGATGCAAAGACTGGTCGCTCTTCCCTCGAGCAGCACAAACCTATGCAAAACAAGACGAGCAGTTTGAAGCAGGTGGAACGCTTGAGTCTCACAAGCGCACTGGCTGCTGTGAGTTTACGGAAATCGGCCTAGCAAGGTCACGGTCTTCCATCGAATTGGGACGACTGCAGATGCAGAACCAGTGGCCATCTCACTCGCTCCGAGTCCATGCACCCATCCCGGTCATCTGCTCTGTGGCACACTACGGCAGAGAAAACAAACGTCACCTTCCAAAGGCACGACAACTGGGCAGGACCGACGGGGCGGACCTGCACACACTGCTTCAACACCAAGAACAGTCGCCTGCTACGTAACTGCTGCGAAGACCCCAGCATTGCTGTCTCCACCAAATCTGCTCCACCTTTCATCACTACATACTGTACCGCACAACAGCAGAGGCTGCTGTGGTTGGCATCACTTCAGACGGTCTGTCCCGAAGCCTGATGGATGACACCGTCGGAAGGGCTAGTGGCTACATTTGCCTGGCTTCCGTCGCAGCAATCGGTCTTCCAGTCCAAGCAGGGAGTGTAGCTTTTATCCCCATGGCCGTCCAGAGATGCTGCACGCGAAATCAAGACCCGTCTAAGTTGAGTTTTCAGCCCCATACTGATTTTCAAATTGCCACTTCAGAACTGTCGAAAGAGTCCGCAACCCAACATGTGGCATCACTGAACCTGACTCGGTTTATAGTTTATAGAGCAAGACTCAGACAGGCCGATTTTCTGCTGTGGGCGGCGCTTGACTCTGTCCCCATGGGCGGAAGTAGAAGGGGCGCCTCACGAGCAAAACTATGCAAAACTCCCAGCGATTTCAGTGGAGCTGACAGAGAAGAGGCACCGTGCACTCATCCGAAAGGAACGCCAATGTCAAGTGAAGGAAGACGATGTCGTCGCTGAGGCTTGTAAGGCCTCACAAACTCGCATGGCCGCATAGTAAATGTGTCAGACTTGGGCTGGCCAGCCCTGCCTTGAGCTTGCTCATCACCTGCACCCTTTGACAGGAACAGCTCGGCATCCCAAGCCTCCCATAGCCACGGCAAGCGTTCAAAATCGAAGGCAGAGCTGGAGGCTGGAGGCTTTCCTCGACAATCCGTGCTGCTTCACTCCAAGGCCTCAGACACACATTGTCACTAGCCCCATGACGGAACAGACCAGCAATGTTGCTGCTCTTGGGGCTTGGGGCTTGACATGTCGCGGCCATCCTCCAACGAGACTCGGAGGGCAATGTGCTGGAGGAGCCGCCCTTCCTGGCAGGAAGAAAACACATGAAAACACCGTGAACACCTGCCAAACCAACTCATTCGCACGGGCCCGGCCTTTGCATGTTTTGCAACCTCCTCGGGTGGTTCGGTCCACTGGGGTAGCTCCACCCTGGCTTGAGAGCTCTGGGTGGCATGGTGCCTCGGAGGACGGAGCCCACACCAAGCAGCAGCTGCAGCTAGACAAAAGCAGGCGAAGCATTGCGAAGCTACATGCGCTGTGCCCTAAGCCAGGGACCAGAGCCGGATTTCCGCTCGGCTCCTGGCATGAGCGAAGATCTAGGGTCCCTCGCGCAGCGCGCAGCGGAGACACGCGCTCCCCTCGTTTTTGGCTGCATCCGTCCGCGGTCCGCCGGTGTCCGCCGGTGTCCGCCGGTGTCTGCTGTTGGCTTCAGCCTCTCGGGCCAGGGGCCTTAGTCAAACTTTGTCACTTAATGTCAGATATCCGCATGAAAAT